GGGGTCTAACTGTTCTCCTAACTGTACTTCTCCCAGGTCTCCGCTCTGGCCCTCTAGGTCTAGGAGACCTGGGAGTGGCAAATTATCATAATCTTCAGTGGCAGGTGCACAGATCGCGGTTACCTCTTCCGTGCGCTCGTGGTATGGCTTGAGCATGTTCACATGGAGCATGCGCTTGCCTCCCGTGTCTGTGACCGCACCGATCACAAAGGTGGTATCACAAACCTGCTCTACCACCTTGTATGGGCCCTGCCAGGAAGCCTACAGCTTGTCCTTGTGGACAGTGTCAATCCATATCTGCCAAGTGACCCTATGTAGGGGGAACAGTCTCTATTCTGCTCTGTGTCAGTGTGTATCATGGTCTCTGAGGACAGGTGTCAATCCATATCTGCCAAGTGACCCTATGTAGGGGAACAGTCTCTATTCTGCTCTGTGTCAGTGTGTATCATGGTCTCTGAGGACAGGTGTCAATCCATATCTGCCAAGTGACCCTATGTAGGGGGAACAGTCTCTATTCTGCTCTGTGTCAGTGTGTATCAGGGGCTCTGAGGACAGGTGTCAATCCATAGCTGCCAAGTGACCCTATGTAGGGGGAACAGTCTCTATTCTGCTCTGTGTCAGTGTGTATCATGATCTCTGAGGACAGGTGTCAATCCATATCTGCCAAGTGACCCTATGTAGGAGGAACAGTCTCTATTCTGCTCTGTGTCAGTGTGTATCATGGTCTCTGAGGACAGGTGTCAATCCATACCTGCCAAGTGACCCTATGTAGGGGGAACAGTCTCTATTCTGCTCTTTGTCAGTGTGTATCAGGGATCCTTAGGATAGGTGTCAATCCATATCTGCCAAGTGACCCTATGTAGGGGGACCAGTCCCTATTCTGCTCTGTGTCCGTGTGCATCAGGGGCTCTGAGGACAGGTGTCAATCCATATGTCAAGGTGTCAATATGTCATATGTCAGGTGTCAATCCATATTCATTGTGATTTAGGAATGTTAGGTGATTTCTGCCCTTTATGGATTAAATCCAGACTCTGCATCAACTGTGTAATTTTCCATGGGGGTTTTGCCATGGATCCCCCTCCGGCATGCCACAGTCCAGGTGTTAGTCCCCTTGAAACAACTTTTTCCATCCCTATTGTGGCCAGAAAGAGTCCCTGTGTGTTTTAAAATTCGCCTGCCCATTGAAGTCTATGGTGGTTCGCCCGGTTCGCCGGTTCGCGAACATTTGCGGAAGTTTGCGTTCGCCGTTCGCGAACCGAAAATTTTGTGTTCGCGACATCACTACTGCCCACTAACCCCTTAACAAATATATATCTGCCATGTTCATCTTCCTTGTGACTAGTGTAAGTGCATGGGGTGTTTTCTCTAAAGAGGATTGCCACCCCCTTGGATTTGGAAAACAGGCAGTTGCTGAAATATCCTGTGGGGTATCGTCTATTCCGTAGGTTAGGTGCATTCTTTGCAGAAGTGAGTTTCTTGTAAGAATACTACCCCTGCTCTGTGGGGGTTGAATTCGGTTAGTGCCATGTGCGTTTTTTCTGGGGAGTGCAAGCCTCTCGCATTCAGCAAGAGTAACTGGATGTTGGACATGTGGGGTGGAATTGAGGACTGTTCCGATCTGGCCTGCCAAACCACCGATGTTAGAAATTGATCTAAATTGCAGTTCAAAATACAAACGTACAACAAAAACTGTGTACAGTACAGTAGCAATAATTTCTTAGTATATCAAAGTAGTACAAGTTACTTGGTATGAATAGCTGGTGGCGATCCCTGAGATTTACCACAGTCTCCAGGGAACTGTGTGCAGCTGCACTGACACCGCTATGTGAGTAGCATTTATAGTGCAAATGTCTGGTGCAGCACTGAGTCTGAATGTGTGAGGAGCTGAGTGGACACTTAAGGGATGAGACAAGTGTGGAATTGTGTGTGTAATTATGGTTCGTAGGAGAATGTGAATGTAGAACTAATGGGTTTGGGCTATTTGGTGAAAATCCATATAATGGTTAGACTGAATAGTGGAGGTGCTTGAGAAAATTCATGTATACTCTTTGTGCGGTATGTTTCCTGGATTCTGTAGTGGAGGCGTGGGGATGTTAGTGTACCTGGGGTGTCCACATTTAGCTAAACTATTATTTTTTTCCCCTTTTTCATTTCTACGTAGTTAGTGGTATAAGAAGGACTAATTAACACATGTCGATGTAGGATGAGGGTTTGGACTTTTCCTGTAAGGGGGAGAGGGGTTGGGCTACATAACTCTAAGAGTCTTCTTTTTTTGGGGGGGAAGGGGTGATTATTAAACGTTTAGTCGTGTGATGTAGTTGGGTAAATGGGAAATCGGTTCTAAACATGTCTTGGTTCGGGCTGATTATCATGGCAGTTTGGAAGAGTGTGGTGACATTGACCTTGGAGGACATTATAGAAACAATCAAGTAGGAGTATATGGCCTGATCAGACCATTAAAGTGAAAAAACAACAGTATACACACTAAAAACAGAATAATAATCTGATAAATGGAAGGGATCCCAGGTGTACCTCACTAACACCCAAAAGTGTAAACAACAAAACGAAAAGTGGGAACCACATCCAAATAAGCGTACAAAATTAAAATACAACCTGGAAAATAGAATCCAGGGCTGAAATATTCTATACAAGAATAATAGTGAATCTAGAATAATAGAAAATACACATCATAGCGTAACACAGTATAATGACAGTGGAAAATGAGGTGCTGTTAGCAAACTCACAAACAAAAGTCGAAATCAGGCCTCTCACCCCCCTGGGGTATATATAGTAGTATAGACTTGATAGTAGATTCTGATAATAGGAATGTCTTCAAAGGAATGGATAAAAAGAACCATAAATAGTGAAGTATGTTAAAAAGGTACAAAATACATTTATCCAATTACACTTACAAACAGATAGATGTAAATAGGCATATCTCCACTTCAAGTGGAACAGAACCGCAGCGTGATGGAACTGGAAACCGGAAAAAATTCTAACTCTGGCCGCAGGCAAATGGAAATGCAGAAAAAAAAAATATATATAATATTAAAATAAATAAAACAAATCAAGAGTCTAATATCCTCCGCAGGCAAATTGAAATGCAGAAGTATATATATATATATATATATATATATACATATATATATATATATATATATATATAATATTAAAATAAATAAAACAAATCATGAGTCCAATATCCTCTTGATTTGTTTTATTTATTTTAATATTATATAGCACATCTTTGTCGTTTTCTAAGTCCTGGACTCTAAGTCCTTAGAGTCTATGCTTACAGTGAGGGGAAAAAAAGTATTTGATCCCCTGCTGATTTTGAACATTTGTCCACATACAAAGAAATGATCAATCTACAATTTTAATGGTAGGTGTATTTTAACAGTGAGAGACAGAATAAATTTTTTTAAAAAAAAACAGAAAAACGCATGTCAAAAAAGTTATGACTTGATTTGCATGACAATGAGCAAAATAAGTATGTGATAGCCTATCAATCAGCAAGATTTCTGGCTCCCAGGTGTTTTTTTTAACAGGTAACGAGCTGAGATTAGGAGCACTCTCTTAAGCCACTATCAATTAAACTGTTAATAGATCCTGACTGATTCCTCTTCTGCAACTGTCACTAGTCTAATACTATCCTTACCTTTTTGTGTCATTTTACCCCACTCCCTCTAGTTTGGAGGAGGAGGAATGCTGCCTATGACCCCAGGAACACCATCCCCCAAGGTCCTGGAGTGGCCTAGACAGTCTCAAAACCTTAATCCCATAGATAATCTGTGGAAGGAGCTGAAGGTTCGAGTTGCCAAATGTCAGCCTCAAAACCTTAATGACTTGGAGAGGATCTGCAAAGAGGAGTGGGACAAGAACCCCCCTGAGATGTGTGCAAACCTGGTGGCTGACTACAAGAAACGTCTCACCTCTGTGATTGCCAACAAGGGTTTTGCCACCAAGTACTATTATTATTATTATGATATTTAGAGCGCTGTCAAATTCCACAGCGCTTTACAATGGGTGGACGAACAGACACGTAGTTGTAACCAGATAAGTTGGACACACAGGAACAGAGGGGTTGAGGGCCCTGCTCAATGAGCTTACATGCTAGAGAGAGTGGGGTAAAATGACACAAAAAGGTAAGGATAGTATTAGAGAAGTAGATTGGTAGAATAGTTGTTGATCCCTGTCCACTGACAGTTGCAGAAGAGGAATCAGTCAGGAGCTATTAACAGTTTAATTGATACGCTTTTATGAAGAAGTGGGTTTTAAATGATTTTTTGAAGGCGTGGAGACTGGGTGAGCATCTAACGGAGGAGGGAAGCGAGTTCCACAGGAATGGTGCAGCCCTCGAGAAATCTTGAAGGCGAGCATCAGGGGTGGGAGTACGGACAGAAGATAGATGTAAGTCTTCAGCAGATCGTAAGGGCCTAGATGGGACTTACTTGTGTATAAGGGAGGATAGATAGGTGGGAGCAGCATTATGTAGAGATTTGAAAGCAAGAACCAGAATTTTAAATTGAGCTCTATATTTTATAGGAAGTCAATGTAGGGACTGATAGAAGGGTGAGGCATGGGAGGTGCGGGCGGACAGGAAGATGAGCCTCGCCGCCACATTCATTATGGACTGTAATAGCACAAGTTGGGACCACGTAAGACCACTGAGAAGCGGATTACAGTAGTCAAGGCGAGAAAGGACAGTGCAATGGACCAACACCTTAGTCGCATCTGGCGTTAAGTAGGGGCGGATGCGCGCAATGTTTTTGAGATGGAAATGACAGGATTTGGCGATAGATTGAACATGAGGCTTGAAGGAGAGGTCGGAGTCAAAGAGAACACCTGGGCAGCGAGCCTGCGTGGTGGAGCTGATGGTAGCACCGTTGACTTGGAGGGAGACAGACACAGGAGTAACAACACTTGAGGGAGGAAAGACCAGAATTTCAGTTTTGGTCAAGTTTAGTTTAAGGAAGTGGGCAACCATCCAGTTAGAAACAGCAGAGAGGCAGTCAGAGACACTAGTCAAGAGGGACGGGGAGAGATCAGGAGAGGACAGGTAGATTTGCGTGTCATCTGCATAGAAATGATATTGGAAGCCAAAGGAGCTAATGAGTTTACCAAGGGAGGCAGTGTAGATGGAGAACAGTAGGGGACCAAGGACTGAACCTTGGGGGACACCAACAGAGAGGAGTTGGGGAGAAGAAGCAGAGCCAGAGAAAGAAACACTGAAAGAGTGCTGGGAGAGGTAGGAGGAGCACCAGGAGAGAGCAATATCTTGTAGACCGATATTGCGGAGTATTAAAAGAAGCTGTTGATGATCAACAGTGTCAAAAGCCGCAGACAGGTCAAGGAGAATTAGGATAGAGTAGTGACCACAAGATTTTGCAGCGAGTAGATCATTGGATACTTTGGTCAGTGCTGTTTCCACAGAGTGCTTAGCGCGGAAACCAGACTGAAGCAGGTCTAGCAGAGAGTTGGACTCAAGGAAGTCTGTCAATCTTGCATACACAATTTTTTTCAAGGATCTTGGATGCAAAAGGCAGTAGCGAGATAGGACGATAGTTGGATGGGGAGTTAGGGTCAAGATTGGGCTTCTCTAGAATTGGGGTTACAGTTGCATGTTTGAAGGGCAATGGAAATATACCAGAGGAGAGAGAGAGATTGAGAATTTTAGTGAGAGGTGGAGAAAGAGAAGAAGACAGAGTATGGATGAGATGCGAGGGAATTGGATCTAGGGAGCAGGTGGTGGGGAGAGAGGACTGGAGCAGCGCAGAAACCTCTTCCAATGTAGCTGGTGCGAATGAACATAGAACAGCAGAGGGAGTGAAGTTAGGGGAAGTATTGTAAGGGGAAGAAGAAAGATGAGAGATCTCTTCTCTGATTGTAGAGATCTTGTCAGTGAAGTGAGTTGCAAAGTCTGAGGCGGTCAAGTTAGTAGGTGGAGGAGGAAAAGCAGGGCGAAGAAGAGAGTTAAATGTGTGAAATAGTCGTTTGGGTTCGTGGGAGAGTGTGGTTATGAGGGTATTGAAGTAATTAACTTTTGCAGAGGAAAGAGCCAAGCTGTATGAGCTCAGCATAAATTTATAGTGGAGAAAGTCAGATGCACAGTGAGACTTTCTCCAACAGTGTTCAGCAGTTCTGGAGCATTTTTGGAGGTATCAAGTGAGCTTGGTGTGCCAGGGTTGTTGTTGGGGGGGCCTGCAGCATTTAAATGTACAAGGTGCCATGATGTCTAGTTGAGAGGAGAAGGTGAAATTGTAGAAGGAGGTTGCAGAACTAGGACAGGTGAGGTTTGAGATAGGTAAAAGGAGAGTTTGGAGATTAGTGGAGAAATGCTCTAGGTCAAGACATTGGAGGTTTATGTGAGAGTGATGTTCAGACAGTGGTGTCAATTGGGTCTTAGGTATACCAATGTCAAAGGTCAGCAGATGGTGGTGAAATAGGATACTAAGTCGAAGGGGTCAAATACTTATTTCACTCATTGACATGCAAATCAATTTATAACTTTTTTGATATGTGTTTGTCTGAATTATTATTTTTTGTTATTCTGTCTCTCACTGTTAAAATACACCTACCAATAAAATTATAGACTGATCATTTCTTTGATCAAACATTCAAAATCAGCAGGGGATCAAATACTTTTTCCTCTCACTGTATATATCAAGATACTTTAATCTAAAATTTAACTTAATAATAAGCTGATTCTCTTTATGTGTCTGGCAAGTGCTGTCATAATGCTTCCAAATGCTCCCTTTTCTGTGTTTGTTGTCCCCTTCGCCAACCCCTCTCTTTGTCATTGTCCCCTTCCCCAGCCCCTCTGTGTGACATTGTCCACTTTTCCAGCCTCACTTTGTGTCAGTGTCCCCTACCCCTGCTCCTCTGTGTCAGTGACCCTTTCCCAAACTCTCTGTGTGCCATTATCCTCTTCTCCAGAACCTCTATGTGTGCAATTGTTACCTTCCCCAACCCCTCACTATGTCATTGTCCCCTTCCCCTGCCTCTCTGTGTATCATTGCCCCATTCTCCAACCCATCTCTGTGTCATTGTCTCCTTCCCCAACCCCTCTCTGTGTATTATTGTCCCCTTTCCCAGTTCCTTTGTGTGTATCATTGCACCCATACCAGCCTCCTCTGTGTCATTGTCCCCTTCTCCTTTCCCTGTTTGTGTTATTGTTCCCATTTTCAACCCCTCTGTATGAGTCCTGTCCCTTTCCCAGCTCCACTCTGTGTATCATTGCCCCGTTCCCCAGCCCTTCTCTGTGTAATTACCCCTTCCCCAGCCCTTCTCCAAGCCATCTTTGTATCATTGTTTACTACTCCAAGCCATCTCTGTGCCATTTTTCCCTTCCCCTATCCTTCTCCCTTTCCCGGTGTAATCCCCAGCCCCTCTGCGTGTGTCATTGTCCCTTTCTCCAGTCCGTGTCTTTGTCATTGTCCCCTTCCCTGTGTTATTGTCCCTTCCCCAGGCCCATTTGTGTGCCATTCTCTCCCCTGCTTACCTCCCTTTTTATAGCATGGCACCAGGGTAGAAGATATTCTGTTTCCTCTACCCAGACTGTCAGGAAGCTGTTCAGTTCTCTCACCAAGCACTTTCTGTCAGACCGGGTAGAGGATAATGATCCTGTATTTTGGTTCCATTTTTCAGCCATGCAACATGAAGTGACTGATAGGACACCTGAGCAACATGTGTGCTCTCCTCCTGCTGATCATCCGGAGTCCAGATATTATGCCCCCCCTCCCCAGGTCAGTGTGACCAGATTTCAGAAAATAATATATACACACATTAACACCACCTGCCTAATACATACATTGATACATACATGCACGCTGCCTAATAAATAATGTGAAAAGAGACATGCGTCCATCAAGTGCAGCATTTCTCACATTTGTTTTTGCAGTTGATGCAAAAGAAGAAAAAATATCTAGTCTGAAGCGCTTCAAATTTGCAACAAACTAAGAAAGAAATCCTTCTTTACCTAAGAATGCCAGTCAGATATCTAATTGGATCATGAAGCTATAATCCCACTAATTAATATATATATATCCCTGTATATTATAATTTTTTGCAAGTATTTATCCAATTGCAGTTTAAACTCTTAATTTGAATTTAAGCTATAGGTCTGTTCAACTATAATTTACCTATTTCATATTAGATGTATCCACATATATAATATATTAATTTGTTCAGGAGAAATGGGGCTTTCATTTCACATGAAACATAGTTTAATATGAATAAAACTTAAAAAAGGAGTGAAAATTGAGCCATTTTGTTATTTTCTTAGTTCTGCATTGCATCTTAACTGTGGATAGGGACCTATTGTCCTCCCCCCGCTCAGGGGTGGGGGCCCTAAATAAAAATTAGAATAAGGGGGGACCTAATGTCCTCCCCCCTGGCCCTCACCACTGAGCGGTGGGTGGGGCCACAGGCCGCTCACTGTTTAATAGACATGCCCCTACAAGCTTATATAGAGGCTGGGTCACATGCTGCACTGGCCAAGCACAGCTATGCCATTGGTTGGCATGGCTGTGATGGCTTCTAAGGGCACATGAGTCAAATGCTTGTTGATTGGCTGTCCTGCAGCTTTTCAAAACGCGCCATTAAATCGCCGGACACAGAACTCGAACTGTTACTGAAATGTCCGGATTCGGGGTCAAAAAATTGTAATGCAGGACAGCCAATCAACAAGCGTTTGACTCGTGTGCATAGCTGTGCTTGGCCAGTACAGCAGGATTATATCTATTTGTGTTCAGCAATGCATCGCAAATATAAGACTAGCCCCCATGTACAGGTGTTATGGGGTTTTGGAAAGTTACAGGGTCAAATATAGAGTAGCATTCCCCTTTTCCATGTTTGCACATTGAAATTTGTCAGATTGGTTTGCTGGGCCTATGTTGCTTTTGAGAGCATATGGCATTCCTGTAATGAAAAGTACCCCATCATGGCATATCATTTGCTAAAATAGACAACCTAGGGTATTTAAAAAGGGGTGTGTTCAGTCTTTTTTTAGTAGCCACGTAGTCACAAACCCTTGCAAAAGTTAGTATATTTGTTTTTTTGCATTTTTCAAAAATAAACTGCAGTTCCACCAATGATATCACTCATATTTGTATTCAGTAATGTCTCTCAAGTACAACAGAACCCCTATGTCCAGGTTTGATGGTGTTTTGGAAAGTTATAGAATCAAATATAAGACTTACCATTTTTGCACATTGAAATTTGACAGATTGGTTATGTTGCCTTTGAGACTGCATGGCAGCCCAGGAATGGGAATTATCCCCTGTTGGTTTACATCCTTTCAATATTGGTCACTATGGATCATACCTTCAGATGATACTGACAGGTGTCTACTCCCAGTCATTCCCAGTTATCATGTTTTATAGTATTTAAAGCTTTTAAGGCTCTTTAGGAAACCGAGATCTCATTGCAAGTTTACTTTAGAAACTGTTTTAGTTGATTATTCTAGTTGATAACTTGACTATCACTAAAATAATTTAGTGTCAGAAGACTCAAAGGACACTGCATAATATTGTATAATAAATGAGACAATGACACAAATAAAATGTATGTGTATTGAATAGATATTACAGAAAGAAAAAAAATAATGAGTAAACAATATTACCAACAGACAATGATGTGTCAACCAGATGTATGTTTGATGAAGTACGTATAAAAATGAGTGATGACTGAACATTTCAAGCTAACCCTTTACTGATTATATATGTTTTCCCCTTTACCAAAAAACGTTAGTGTGTTGTCTTGATCCCTGCTGTATGATTGATTTTATAGCTATATCAGCAGATACTTAATTAGCACTGTCTATGGTTAACTCCAAAAAAGTTAATAGAATGAGTTAAGTTAAAAGGTTAACAATGAGTTAACTTTTTAAAAGTGTCATGTGCCTGCAAGATATGCTACCATACAGATAAAATATATATATATATATATATATATATATATATACATATATATATATATATATATATATATGCCTTAAATAATAACAATCCATACTCCACTCTCCCATCATCATTATGTCATACTAGAGTTGAGCGAACCCGAACTGTAAAGTTCAGGTTCGTACCAAACATTAAAAATTTTTGACCCCGAACCCGGACATTTCAGTAACAGTTCGGGGTTCGAGTTCGGTGTCCGGCGATTTAATGGCGCGTTTTGAAAAGCTTCAGGACAGCCAATAAACAAGCGTTTGACTCGTGTGCCCTTAGA